AACCATCGCAAATGGATCACTTTTTTACCATATTATTCTTTCATTTATTCAAATTTTATGCTTAATACGTTGCACGCTCGCTATTGAAATAATAAGTTTGTTATCTCCCAGCTGGATAGAGTAGTCAATTGATTTTCCGCAGAGAATATTTAGAAGCCGTGTAATCACGTTCTCGCATAATTAATGCCTGTCGACCGATATTATCCTTAACGAGGAAAAAAATATACGGAAGAAAATATCAAATTTTTCATTGTGATGCGAGAAATTTTTATTTTCTCTCGTATAGACATGACACGGAAAAATGTTTATCTGAATAATCGCCAATTCATCAATAATAAGTGCTCTTTGATTGATCGTTTTTTCTAATTAATTCACTGCTTATTAATGATGATTGATGCATTTTTGTTCTATCCATATCATACGCACTGCTCTCTTTAAGTACTCGCCTACGATTCATCGTCGCTCGTTTTTCGCTCGAATCATAGTCCATTTTGCGAGAGAAAAATTTTGCGTTCGCGCGTGTCACGCATGTAAGCGTAACATGAGCGGCACTCTCGACGATCTGTTACTAGCTTTTTTTTGCCGACACTCGACACGGAATTGTAGCCGACACATGCAAACAGCCGTAAATAAAAGCGGCCACGTCGCACGTGTCCGGTCGACACACTCACGCCGAGGGACGCTCTCTCTCATTTCGTATACGAGAATCAACGAAATAAAGATCACACTCGGTTTGGAAATGTGTTTATACATGAGGATGGAAAGTGCGTTCATCGCAGAAAATGAGCTTGGAACTTATAGATGGTACATAAATTCGGTACTGTTTGTCTCTGACGTCTTATACCGCTCTATTTAGGCAGGATCGAGAAATCCCAGATCTCTCCGTCCACGGCAGCAATGGCAGTTTTATTTGCGGGGAAAATGACGAGATGGATATGCGAAATTAATGCAACGTTTCAAAAACGCTCGAATACGAATAAAATCTGAGATATATAACGATCCGTAATCGATCCAAGATTATAATTACAATTTATTCGCGTGCAGGTTTTTTTCCGATATGTCTGTCACTTTCGACACGATCGTTCGAATTTGTGCGAAATGTGCTTTTCCTTCTGTCACGCAATCCGGGCCATATTTCTTCTCCTTTTAGCAATCTCCCCATGATTGACATATAAATAAGATGGAATATATTTAATCATCTTTCAATAAGGGAGATTTCTTTGAAATGAATTGATTGACTTGGATTGATTCGAGAAGCGAAAACAGAAATAAATGAGATTAGATCGAAATTTGATTTGATTAATTGGCCTGATATGATAAATAATTAATATCCAACTGTTTCTTTTAATACTGATCAGGAATCATACATGTCCCGAAAATTAAATTTGAAATCACACATTTATTTCTTTTTTATTTTCCTTGAGAATTTTCGGAGCAGAATTTTTTCCGGTGATTTTTGGAGCGTAATGTCAATATACAGGATGTTTTTTAATAAATGCGAAAAATAGAAGATGATTCTTTGTCGAAAATTAAAGGAAGTTTTTCATATAAACATTAAAAAGTTTTAAGAAAAAATTAAATAGGGGTTGCTAGTCTCATCCCCTTATATTATAACAATACGGGAAGCTGAAAAAAGAATCAATAAATAACCTTACTAGTAGAAAATAGCCACCTCATTTCATTTCTTCAACTTGTTCCAAATTGAGAAAAAAAATAAAAACCTAATTTTTGCCCCTATTTTTGGAGGAGTGTAACTCCACAGGGAGGAATACAGGAGTATATATTTAGATGAAAAACCTCTCTTAATTTTCGACAAAGAATCATCTGCAGAAAATTTTTCATATTTATTAAGAAAAAAAATAAAAACTTAATTTTTACCCCTATTTTTGGACGAGGGTAACTCCACAGGGAGAAATGCAGGAGTATATATTTATACGAAAAACCTCCCTTAATTTTCGACGAAGAATCATCTCCAAAAATTTTTTCATATTTATTAAGAAATACCCTGTATATCGAAAAATCATCCGTGCGCTTTCAAGACACAAATTTCTAAAAGAAAGAGAGGTAAAGACGCTGTATCTTTTCAGAGGTGTCGTATCGTTCGTCGCGCATCGATAAGCGACGCGGCGTCTGGGATGTGGTCGTCGCAACAGACGCCGGCACGAAATTCAATCAAAATCAAAGGGATAAGGTGTATCGGAGCGTGAAAGCAAACGCGCCCGGGTGGTTCCGGTGGATTCCTTGCGGCCGGAAAATGTTTCGCGCGCGATGGATCGATCCGGAAGGAGAAAGAGAGGGAGGAGAGGGCGACCTTATTATCGGAAGGGGAATTTCGGTCGGTTCCCCCGGGACGATTTCTGGAGAGGAGGAAGGGGGATGATTCTTCCTCGCGCTCCCTTATCGCTCGTAGCGACCAGGGGGGGGGGGGTTTATCACGTCCAGAGGCCATCGCGCTGTCTTTCGCAAACGCATGAATCATTATTATGGATCGCGCAAGATCACGATTACCGGATCGTAACACGGTTATTTTGCTCGGTCTTCTAATCGATCCTATGGGAACCTATGCGATCTCTTTACCGAGGCACTTTATCGGCAGCGCTGACGAAATATTTAAAGAGGACGATCCGAAGCTGCTACTTGAGATGAGCGAGCTTCCACTGAAATCCACACGCGTAATCCTTCGTGAATACATGCGATAATATTTAAGAGGATTCAAGCTACTTCGGGCACAAACATTTGTCCCGAATTCGCTAACGTGAAAAACGCTCTCGAGTTTAACATTCGATTCGCCTCTCGATAAGACGAAACAGTCACTACAAAGTACTTCCTCCGTAATCTCCGTAACGGGAGATATTCCGTTCAGGGTGGCACGATGATCGTTGAATTAATTACAACACGACGGAGGCAACATTCGACTCTGATAAATCTGGATTCAAGCTAATCGTACAACGCATTATTGATATTTTCCAGCTTTGCGCGCGAGAGACGCGACTGTAGGATGGAATAATATCGCGTGGATTTGGGATTTGGGATTCCCTCTCGACTCATTTATGGTCCAGGACCTGACCCTTCGAAACTACACGCGCGTTAGTCACGCACGACGAAGCCCTCTTTAAGGTGAGCGTTGTTTCTACGTTGCGCGTCCAGCCGAGTCCCAAAGCTCTCAGTGAGGGTTAATGCGCCTAATGGAACCTCCCGAGTGCCGTTACCAATTTTGCCACGACTCTCACGATTTAGCAGCGGGCCAGCCAGTCGGGACATTATCAAAATTTATTGGCCGGTCAACCGTTCGCAAACAGCCGCCGCCGTCGCCGTCGCCGTCGTCGGAATGTTTTATGATCTTCCTTTGTGCGCGCGCATACTTAATTCGTCCGAGAAAAACTCTGTTATCGTGGGTTAAAAAGCTAGTCCCCGTCGTGGGAATTTCGAGTTTCGGTCTAGGAAAGAATAAAATAATAGATTCCGTTGCGCGAATAAATATGACAAAAAGAAGGAGGGGGAATATCTTCTCTTCTACATTTTTTGTTCGTGTTATTTTTTTCATTCGCACTTTATCATTTTAAATGACTCGTGAATTATTTGTGGGAAAATTCTTGCGGGAAAAGCAATTCTTTACGGGAATATTTGCATTCCTGCGTGTACCGCGTGTTTTACGAGCTTAAACTCGAAAATTTTTAGAGCATATTTTTGGTCGGGCTTAATATAATGCCATAAACACGCGCATGCGACTCTCGCGCGCGATATTTTAATTATAATAAATACGTGGGCAAACGCGTATAACACAAGCCGCTCATTATAAATGCGCAAATATTGTCCTGTGACTTCAAACATACACGGCCAGGATTAAGTGGCGAAGATATTTTACAGTCGAAATTATATACGTCGGCTCGTCTCGTAAGATGCAAATGCCGTTCGATTAATTCTTAGCGACGTTTCAAGCCGCTCAACATTCTTGTATGACAGCAGGTGGTTAAGTGCGCTTACTCGTCCGCTATCAGCGCCCTAATCGGAACTGTTCGACTTCCGGGAGTTCCAGACGAGGTACCTAATTAGGAACGACCTTCACCGACGCCTCTGTACGGCCATTTATCACGCACCTCTTTACCGCTATTATCCCCGTAGCGAAATTTACGAAGGCAGATTGGATCTCAGATAGCCACTCGAATATCCGCTATTCATATTGTCATAAATCCTCACGGGATTGAGCGAATCGAGAGAAAGCGAAATGATTAATTCTTAATAAACACGCTAGACATTTTTTCAGACAAAATTAATAATCTTAAGAGAATCCCTGCGCCAACTTTTTTGAGCACTATTGATAAATTAATTATTTTATTAATTATTTTATTAATTATTAATTATTTATTTTGATAATAAATTAATTATCTTTATAAAAAAAGATTTCTTTTTGAAATATCACATGTATAATTTCGATAGTAAATTCAATCAAGATAAAAAGTGAGATTTTTTTTATCAAAGAGGTGAACTACATTTGCGTACAGGTACTTACTTCGTTTGTTTGTCGGCATTAATAACGAAAAAAATTGTAAAATATAATATATAACACAGGAGAGCAAAACAACAACAATAATAATCTCGAGCAACTGTGCACGCGTAATAAACATGACGAAGGGAGATGGAAGTTTCAGCCGGCGCGGCGCTGAAAATTTCATCTCGCGGAAACTTGGCTTCTCGCGGTGAAGCGAGAAGCAGAAACTTATTCGACGCGTTGCCTTCCGCGATATTAGGAAACATATATATCCCGGGGAGAAGTAGGATCATCATTAATTATCCGTGCGCAAAGTCAACGTTGGCTAGAGTCGCGCGCGTGTCAGTAATAAATTTAGGTCACGCTAATCGCGCGATATTGCAGCCGCGTTTCTATGTGCATTATTTCGTCGCGCGTAAACTTGGCTTGGCTGCTTAAGTCCGGAGGGTGCGTCGCGAATGCCTCTGAAAATAGGGGACGATAATATCTATGAGACGCATCGGAGACTCACCGCATCGTTGTGATTCCAGAAAATGTAGGCGGGCGGCTCTGGACTCTGCAAGACGACGCACGTGAGATTGATGGTGCTACCTCGATTGATGAACAGATCCGGCGCACCCAGAATCTCGGTTTTTGGCTCTGTAAAGTAAAAAAGCCGCTATTTTACGCACGAGTAAATTTTCGAAATTGCGGGTGTTATTCGAGAGGCAGGCGAGGAAGGGAAAAGATGCGCGAGGCTACGTGATGATGTATCGTCGGACCTATTTTGTCGACGGAAGAGAACAGTTGGGCGCCGTGATAATTTGCAGTCGTATAATTAAATATTATATTACGCGAGGTAGAGAGAATAAAGGGTGGAAATATTTTGTATTATTTCTTTTTCTTTCTCTCTCTCGTATCTCATTTTCGCTCTTTTTGTAGACGGCAAACGAGAAGCGCGTAACTCTTGGCCGAATTAAATTCACGAGAGAATTATTTGTCCGTTTAAAAGCCCCATTTCGTTACAAATATCGATCAAGTCTGGACGATCCTTTCCTTTCAGCGATTTGTTATGATTTTAGCGAGAATTTATTGCGCGCGCTTTAGATTTTCTTCCGCATTAAACTTGAGAATCTGAATATACGGGATCACATCGCGCGTCACATGATTTTATGCGCGTTTTATGTAAATAAAAGCATATATTTGTCACATTGCGCTTCGGGGCGGTACAGTTTGCCACGTAAGAGAGCTTGTTAGTCTCTTGGCGGATTAAATCTAAAGATTTAAAGATGAGATTCTGTCGCGACCCAGAATTTTACGTTTCTTTCATGTAAATGTCTCTTGCCTCGACGCGTCTTATTTTTGCGAATCTTCAGCTACGCGCATCGCGGTTATAAAAAGCACAATGGCGCTGATGGAATAAGGGAGGAGAGAAAGAAGAGGGAGGAGAAGGAGGAGGAGGAGGAGAAGAGTCGGTCTCTGCCTTTTAACGCAAAACGTCGTAATACTAAATCTTATTATTTGTATCGCCGCGAAGGATCTAGGTACGTGTTGTAAAACGGCAACATTCATTACCGTCAGCGCATTATGGAAACAACAAAGCTAATCCTCTCCCGTATCTTTTTATCTCGAATATTGCGCGAGTAGAAAACTTGTCTTGCCTGCCATGAACATCGCGTGTTTTGATAGCAAAGATTTTTTCCTATGGTTTCGAGATAGCCCGTACATCTCATTAAAGTAAACATTTTTCCCGTTACGAAGAATTTTATTCATAATTTTTATTCATAATTTCCTTTAATCATTTACATTAAAATTAAAAAGATGAAAGATACATATTTAATTCCTTCAGCGATTTGGAGATATGTATTATGTACAGGACGTTTGAATGATCGCGAGATATAAATTTCACCTCTCTGCCACTAATTAAATTTGCCACACTTATCGCAGTCTTTTCAAAGTTCACAGATTTGGAGCAAGATCCGCTTCGGAAAGAATGATTCTTTGGCGAGAGGATCGTTATTGAAAGCTGGGTCGAGAGCTCGCTTTTGTCGCGATTAGAATATAGCATAGAATTATGCAGAATTACACGGACAGGCAGGAAAAGCCTTTCCGGAAATCCTTTCACCCTTGTCGCTCCGACAAGTAGTCAGCGTAGAGTGTGAATCGGACCGTCAGAAATTTATTTATAATGCCGAAAAATGCCAAGCTGGCGCGTCGATTTTCATCTCGGTATTTATAGCCCGTATTCGCAGCCAGCCGATTGGACAGACGGTTCATTTTGCGTCCTTTTGTGGCGCGGAAGAGCGATGAGGTTGACCTGGCTTACGAAAGGCGCGTACTTTGAGGCGCTTCATACAGTCGGTGTATCTGTTTCCGTTGCGCGTATAAGTGCGTGCGTGTGAGAATCTATGTGCATGTGAATGAGATGGGAAGAGAGAGAGAGGAGAGAAAGGTCAACGCGGAATAGATCGATGTGAATATTTTCCGGGCGGCTTCCTCTTCGAGAATTGACCGAAATAGTCGGACAGCGTGCCTTACGGCTTTTGTGCAGCGAATGATAACCCTCGGGGCGACTTTCCTCTCTGGTTAACCCGTCTTTATCCCTGGGGTGGTTAACAGCGCCGAGGCATTTCCTCCATCCCTTCTAAACATGGATGCTTTCTCTTTTCTCTAGTTTTGTTACGAAGCTCTTTTTCCTTTCCGGATTTCTCGCCGAATCCGGATTTAGAGTCTTTCAACAACGTTTTCAATTTTTTATTCCGGACACTTTGTTATATATTCATCGTTCTTATCGTTTGTATGTTTTCTCTCCTTTCTTTATAATTCCTTGTTCTTCCTCTTTCTCCATCTAGAAACTCGCTTCTCTATAGAAAGCATAGTTTAAAAATTATTTTTAATAGCACATTTTCTGGCCAATTTGGAGACAATTTTTCCTTTGCGAAAATATTGAGTCGTCAATAGTTTGCAAGAATTATAAATGATTGCAAAAAGGCTTTCTGCAAACTAAACTTTATGGAATTAAGAGATTAATGAAACTACATTCTTCAATTAATTTTAAGTGAAATTTAATAGAATTTTAATTTCAGTATTCCCCTAATATAAAATACATGATGGAAAATATTGAAAACTTGCAAAAAATTATGATCTTTTCCGACATCTTTGCAAAAGAAAAATCTATTTCAAATTGACTAAAGAATCCGTTACTAAAAAAGACATCTGATGCTTTTGGGATATTCATATATATAAAAAGAGAAGATATATATGTCTTTTCCTTCTTATATTTTGCTTCCTTGTCGACGACATAGCTTATTGAGGCGTAGAGAAAGCGGCGCTTATGGGTCGATCGATAGCACGAGCATACGTAAAGTGCTTTAACGTCGGTTAACCGCTGGATGAAAGCCTCGTCAGAGCTGGCGAACTTTTGGAAGACGAAATCAGTGTTCCTCGACGAAGAATTCCCGAAACTCTCGATTCGCTCGGATAGTCATTATGATCTCGGCTGACTTTTAAATAAGAACGGAAGAATTAATGATGCCGGAGGGCGAGCACACCGCCATTTCTTCAATCAGTCACGATCGTGGCTCGTTTATAATAATTTTTTTTAAATATTTTTTATTTCGAATCTTCTTATTAATTTAGATCTTATGTTTTTATGTTACAGATTAACCTGATCTACGTAATCAATTCGTTGTTATGCATCGAGCCATCGATTGGTGAGTGATAAATTTTTATTTTATAGTAAAATCTTTAAGCATATATAAATAGTGGATTTCAATATGTAGCACTATAAATTTTTATTTTTTTTTAACTTTTATTTGTTGCATATAAATATAAATATTATTTTATGTACTTGGAATATATTTTTAATAATGTTTTTAATAATGTTTTTAATAATGTTTTAATAATGTTTTTTTTATTATGAGTCTCATATATTGTTTATTCTATATACATCTTGCAATCCACAATGCAACTTAATGTTATATAATATTTAATCTATCGCATATAATGTTGCTGAAACTTTTATTACTATGATAAATGAAAATTTGCTTGGTAAAGTTTTAAATTTTTACACAAAGTATATCTCAATCATTTATTATCTACGATTAATTGCCGGGACATAGTCATGTCTCCTGGTAAAACGATATATAATGTAAGCTTAAATAGATGAATGTGATATACGATTCTACGAGATAGGATCTAGTGAATTTTTATCAGTCAATTTTATGAGTTTACATGTTTATTGCAAGTGGAAAGAATATTTCCTTAGCTCGTAGCGTATACGAGGATGTCTTCGATGATAATTCAATATGTAACTTTGCGAAAAAGAGTGCTACGAGACAATAGCCCGCGTTACGCTCATTTGAAACTTTATTAAAGAAGTTTGTCACGCGATTTTGCGACTCGGGTGCGGCCGAATGAATAAAAGATGTCGATAGACGACGGGAGTAAAATGTAAACTAGAATAAGTTGGACGCGTCTTCAACGAAGAGAAGAGCGTCGTCTAAAGAAATCGATTTCGTCTTTGCGCGATATATCTTGGAATCGATGAGTTTGGATTCGGGTTAATGTAATTCGCGTACCTTGCGGCGCTGATGAATAAAGTAGAGTTCTAAAATTACAGAAAATATTATATTATGTATATTTAAAAAAGTCCATTCTTGTGTGTATTTGCTTACAAAATTTTAAATTAAAAGAAAATATAAAAAATTGAGATAATTAATTCTCGATTATATCGCTTTTTCTAATAAAAATTTGTAAAAATTGAAAGAGATGATAGAAAAATAATTTCGATTTAAATTCAGTATCGTCGAAAGATAATTTTAAGATTTCTTGAAAAATTAGATAAATTCTCGAAGATCGAAGATATATCGTAATAAGATAAATATTCTGCAAAGTTTCAAAGATGCTTCTTATACCGAGTATGAATCTAACAGAAACTCATACAAACTCAAGAGACTTCTTTTTGTAAAACAAGCAGCAGTTTATAAATCGAAGTTCTCTTCTAAAAACGGGCATTTTTTCATATTTCTTGTTTTAGTGCACTTTTTATCCTTCTTGAAATTGATTGTCTTGCATTTAGAGATATATCGAAAGTCATGTCAACTATTCTCGGTGCCGAGAGCTTCGTCCGTTTTGCTCTGCCTGTTAATTTACCTATCACAATCGATCCACCCATCCATCGATCGATCAATCGAGAACATCGCCGCCGGTACACGATAATTCGCTTGCAATCGGTATTTGTCAAGCGCGCAAAATACACTTGCGCACGATGCGCTCCCGATGCTTGACCTAAATAAAGCAGCTGGACAATTGCGGGTACTCGTTCCTACCTGCTGCGGTTTCGGCAAAGTGCAAGCCGTATCCGCTGGTCAGCTCGACCAGTCAGATTCAACTATTTTGGAAAACGCGCTCCAAATTTAAGATAAATGTAATTGTGAATGTAGTTTCGCGCGCATCATGCATATTTATCCCGACTTGTTCCCCATTAATTATCGAACAAACTCGTGAGCTCGGTTTCATTGTAAAAATCTTCGTATCGATTTTTCACACTCCATATACAGGGTGGCCGACGTAAAGTGTTACAAATTTATATCTCGGAAACGAAGCAATTTAGAGAAAAATGTTTCCCTATATAAGAATATGCAAAAGCATATAGGTTG